TTCTTTTCATTATAATATGACCGATAACTGATATAGTATAGCAATTTGTTGCATAGCATCAAATAGTCAGATGTTTAATCCTTTTTTAGACTACAGCTTTAAAGAAACTGTCATTCCTTCCTCAGTTGGTATTAATATAGAATAATATTTCTCTTCATCTGACAATCTTTGATTAAATTCCCTCATACAACGCCATGACTGTTCCGATACACCTTTTGGAACTGATTCTAAAAACACTGTATTAAATAATAAAGTGTTATCTGCTATAATTAATCCACCTTGTTTTATATATGATTCTGCCCAATCTAAATATTTAGTATAGTTGCCTTTATCTGCATCAATAAAAATCATATCAAAAGGAGCTTTGATTGATAGCTCATCAAGCTTTTCTAGCGCAATGCCTTCCATAAGAGTAATTTTGCTATTTAGATTGAGGAGACAAAAATTCTCTTTTGCTATTCCTGAATGTTGAGAATTATTTTCTATTGTATAAATATGACCATCTTCCGGCAGAGCCCGTGCCATACAAATTGATGAATAACCGTATAGTGTACCAATTTCTACAATACTTTTTACATTACGACTCTTGATGAATATACTTAATAATTTCCCTTCCTCAGGAGTAATCTGAATGCATTGTTTTTTTCCAAAGGTACAGTATTTCTCTATTTTTTCTTGTTCTTTTGCAAATAAATTTCTTATATATTGCAATTTTATGCTAGAGTTATTACGCATATACCACAAAGCTGAAAAATGACACTATTATTAATAGTAATAGTATAGTTCATAATTACAACGATATTTAACTTTAAGTTATTATTTTATGGTGTAAAATTTTAAGTGACAGAAATTATTATATACTGTATTATAATTAACTAGTACAATAATAAATGAAGGATTAAGGGAACTGTTTATGTACATTTCTCTTTTAAAGGTACAAATTTTTATAATCAATTAGAGGGGGATTATATGTCTTACACTATCGATGAGATTGAAACACTTAATAAAAAGTCTAATAACAAAAACGAAGGGGTTGCAATATTACATAATCCAGCTTACCGTGAAAAGTGGTTCGAATTTTTTAATGAAGCTCAAAGAAAAGTTATGGATATGGTGCAATTTTATGATGGAACAATAGTGCTCATAGAAAATAGAATTGCCATGTATTATTATACTTGGGATAGTAAAAGAAGAGAACTTCAGCGTAAAAAGCAACAGACAGTAACAAAAAACAATAATTCATAGGCTGTATAATGTTTGCAGATATGTGTTACTTGGCTGTAATAGCTATTTATTAGGGTAAAAGTGATTTATGAAGTTAGCAAAAGAATAGGGGCGTAATAGTATATTTATAGTAGTCCAAACAACTTACGAAACTTGGTTATAGTATTTTCAATAATAAGCAAATGATGTTCAGTTTTGTTAAAATCCGTAGAGTAACATTGGGTTTTCAAGAAGTCTACTATTTTGTATTGCTCTGCGCACTGCTTCTGTTGTTTTGGCGCACCTATGTAATACTTGATAATAATGATATACCATTACTCTCTGGGACTGTA